ACGCTTACGGTTTGCATGGATCTTTTCAGAGTCCTGGTTGCATGACTGTTCTTTCGTTGGCGTTGCCGCAAAAAAAAAAAGTCCTACCAACGGGACCCCAGCAAAAACAAAGTGTTTAATGCTCCCGGTCGAACGCGGCAACCGATCTGAAGTTCGGATCCGGGCGGACTTCGTGGTTGGCACCCGTACGTGGTCCCATGAACCTGGCTGTGGAACCTGCCATTGCCCGACTGCGAGCTCGCCTTGTCTGCGATACTAATCGGGGGTCCACCAGCCGTGTTTTTTTTATTTTTTGTGCTTGCAGTCATTGTCATCAAGGATGGCAACATTTGCGACTGGATTGCCGCAAGTGCTCACTTTGTCGATAAGGAGAATCGGGGTCCATGGAGGTCTATAGGGGGCCGCGCTGCGCCAATTTCCGACGTGGTGCACCTGCGACGACCATTTCTGTTCTGYGTGCTCTGTTGGAACAAACACTTGTGAGCAGCAGCAGGGCCTCCCTGAACATGCAGCCAAGCCTAGCGTTCCTTCTGTGCAATTCCACACCGGTCATCCAAATATCCGTCGTCCCCCGCGCAAACCGGTTCCTGGCCAGTCCAGCAAGCGCCAAGTTCGGATCCCGGCGGACTTTGAGGTCCCCCGTAAATTTAACCGCCGTTTTCGACGGACACGACTGCCGAGTGCGTTCTGATTACCAGAGGCCTCCGGGCACGCAAAAGTGCTCGCATGAGGCCTGGAGCTTCAAGTGTGAGTTGACTGCACGAGGACTGTGGGTGCGAAAAATTGCTCACCTTCTGAGATGCCCTTCAAGGGGTTTGTGGGGGTTGCCGACGGTGATAGTGGTCGTGTCCCTTGTCTGTGTGCCGTCGATCTTTGTTGCCCCCAGAGGGTTTTGACCGTCCCGGTGCACGGATTCTTGTCGCACACATGCTCGTGTTTCTACGTGGTTTCCGGTTCGCGCTTTCGCACGTCGATGTTACCGGCGCGCGAATCGGAGATCACCTTGTCGACTAGCCGAATCGGGGTTTGGAAGGGTTGCAGGGGGGTCTTTCATCGGTTTCTACATTTTTCTTGTCTGCGCGGTTGGGATGTCCGATCTCGATGAACTCTTGCACTAGGGGTCAGTTTGGGGTCGCACTGCGCCCGATTTTGTGGTGGTGCATCCACCGCTGCCCTTTGCTCTGCGCGTGCTGACGTTCAACGACAACTCGAGAGTGGCAAAGCCTTCCTTCTGTGAGGCCAAGCATAGCGCTCCTTGTGTGTACCCGCTGGCGCTCCGTTCCACTGACATCGGTCGCGCAAAAACAGGTTCCTTGCTACTCCAGCACCGGCCAAATTCGGATCCCGGAGGACTTCGAGGCGCCGCATGAATCTGACCGTTGTTTTCAACGGCTTGGACTTCTCCGTCCGTCTTCAATGTCGGCGGCCTGGTATTGCGCAAAATTGCTCGCCTTGTAAGTTGCCCTGAAAGGGGTTTATTGGGGTTGACGACGGTGTCGCTGGCCGGGTCCATTTCTGGTGTGCCGTGGATCTTCGTTCATCGGCGCCCCAAAATGCGGTGCGCCCGAGCAACACCTGCTTCTGTGCAAACGCCATCCACCCGTTACAAATGCAGGCGAATCCACCAAGTTCGGATCCTGGCGGACTTCGAGGATCGACGCAAATCTATCCGTCCTTTGCGTGGCGCCTGGAGCTTCGAGTGTGAGTTGATTGCGACAGGACTGTGGGTGCGAGAAATTGCTCGCCCTCTGAAATGCCCTTCAAGGGGTTCATGGGGGTTGCTGAAAATAAGGGACACGGCCGTTGTCACCGTCAGCAACCCACATTAACCCCTTCGAGGGGATTTATGAAGGCGAGCAATTTTTCGCGCCCACGATCTTTGTTGCCCCCCAAGGTTTTTGACCGTCGCGGTGTGCGGAGTCTTGTTGCAGAATCGGGGGTCGCCTTCTCAACTGGCCGAATCAATATTTGGAAGGGTTGAAGGGGGGATCTTTCATCCTTTTCTACATTTTTCTTATCTACGCAGTGGGGATGTCCGCGTTCGATAAGCTCTTGCGCTAGTACCTGTGAATGGAAAATTGCACGAGCTCGCGTAGACGATGGTGAGAATCGAGTTTATGGGGGTCAGTTTGGGGTCGCGCCGCGTCGAATTGTGTAGTAGTGCATCCACCACTACCCTTTGTTCTATGCGCTATCGTTCACCGACAACAGATCCTTCCTTGTGTTCGCCCAAACATAGCGTTCCTTGTGTGCACCCACTGGTGCTACCTTCCACTGACACAAGCCATGCAAAAACAGGTTCCTTGCTACTCCTGCACCCGCCAAATTCGGATCCCGGCGAGCTCTGTGCCCTCAACGCATAAATCTGACCGTGCTTACAGTTCGCTCCACTGTTTTGCAGGGTGTGGACACGAATTCGAAAGACCCGTTCGACCCGCACAAGAGAGAATAATCCATTGCGCTGACGGGAATCGCATCCGCTGCACCGACGGTTGCATGACGGCGCCGAAGAAGGCTCGGCGAACGACCGCATGAACCGGGCTATGGAAACTGAACAAGCGGTCGACTTGCATTGCCAGCTACAACACCTGGAGTTGGCCCCGACGACCTCTTCGGACAGTTCGCCGTTCCAACAGTCAGCTGCGGATTTYCYCAGAAAACGAAATCTCGCTTTTCGTGAGAGCTTTGGAGGTTGCATCCAACTGCCTACAGAATTGGCAACAACGTCCGCGGCCGAAGAACCGTCTACCTCCCGGATAGAGTTCCACATTCCTGGCGAGGTGCACCCCACAACTTCGGCGCACAACAATTGCGTGCCAATGGGTGTTTCTTACGCATCGTCTGATGACGAGAGTGAGCGGTTGGTGGCCACTGATTACTCGTCTGGACAACGGTCTTATTCCAGTGGACCTTTGCTTCGCGCTAGCTCCAGTACTATGAACTTGGTTGCCACTGACTATTCTTCGGAGGAGCTTTCCACAACACGGGCGAGTCCAACGCATATGCGAAGTGATGATGCGCTTCCAAGTCAGAGTCAGTCTGGGTCGGAATTGTCTGGCAGGGGTGATGCAGAGAGATACTGCAGATTTTATTCGCACCTCTGCCAGGCGAAAGACGAAGGTATAGCATGGATAATAGGAACGCTAGGAGGAAAGAACAGTATAAAAGAGCGAGAAACATGTTGTCCGGAAAAAGACTGCTCATGGTGCGCGGCATGGCATGTTGCAAGGCTCGATGTTGTTACGACGTGTCGCCTGAGGAAGTGCGAAAGGTTAGACAAGGACTGTACAGTAAGAGTCAGGGAGAGCGAGCTGAGTGGTGGATGAAAAGTATTAAGGATTTCACAGTAAATGAAAGTGGACAGAAACGTGTCCGCCCTGTGGAGTTGGAACGTTCAATGTGCATTAGGGCGTACTACAATGTACTCGGTGTCTCGCGTAATACATTTTACAGCTACAAAAAGCGTTTCGACAATGGCTACGTGCGTTTCGAGCATTGCCTGACGGAAAAATATAGGCCAACCAATAAAACGGTCGCCATGCTTGCCAGCATGAGAACGTTCATCAAGTGTCATGCGGATAGCATGCCGAATGAGGTGGCTAACCAAGGTGGGGTTTCCAGACCGAAGCTTCGACTCCTGGCTGCTTTGACGAAGAGATCAATTTATGAGTCCATCAAATCCGACTTTCTGGCCGCTGGCCTCGATGTCGTGTCCGAGTCCAACTTTTATAAGTTGTGGCGGAAACACTTTTTCCACGTTTTCCTCGCGCAATCTAACACGTTCACGAAGTGCGCCGTCTGTCATGAACTGAAGGAACGTATACAATATGCTGCTCTTCCTCGAGATCGAGAACGTGCTCGAGAGGATATGAAAGCACACCAAAGGAGGCAAGTTGAACACAGATTGGACTACAGTCAAACCAAAACTGATTCCATGGTTCGTCCGAACGAGCGTTTGTGTCTCATCATTGACGGCATGGATCAGAAGAAAACAACTATCCCCCATATTGGTCAAGCGAACTACTCGAAAGCACTTAGGCACGAGATGATGATGAAGACTAATCTGACAGGCGTCATTGCACACGGCAGAGACCCTAGTATATATGTGTACACGTGGTTTCCGTATTTCAAACACGATTCCAACATGGTCGCTACTTGTGTTATGAAAACCCTTCTCGAAATTCAAGGGAGCGGGACGCCACTGCCACGATTTTTGCGCATTCAAGCAGATAATTGTTGGCAGGAAAACAAGAACAAATACATATGTGCCCTGGCTGCACTGTTGGTTAAGTTCGAAGTTTTTGAAGAGGTAGAAATAGGTTTCATGCTCGTGGGACACACCCATACATACGTTGACGCTACTTTCAGCGTTTTCTCGAAGAAATTGAAAGACGTAGACGCTTATACTATGGACGAGTTCTTCGAGCTCATAAAGCAATCCCACAAAAAGTCTCCCAAATGTATTTTCCTCGATACGATGGAAGATTGGATTAGTATAGTGGACCCGTGCGTTGCGTCAGACATTACCGGTATTTCAAAATCGCACTTGCTTAAATTTTTGATGGTTGGAGATAGTCCGGGGATGTTGTACAAGGAGGTTTGCGATGACGAAGAATGGTTGCCCGAGGAAGGTCCGATTTTTTGGTTCAATCAAAACCCCGATGAAAGCTATGCTGGTCCTTCGTGGCCGTTTGACCCGCCTCATGTGCAACCCCTTCCTCGAAATGACTATTTGAATGGCAAAAATGGTGTTGTTCGATTCCGTGAGTTGTTGGAGAGTAGGCGGTCGACGTGGTGCACTTACAATGACCATGAGGTGAGTAGGAGAGAAACAACTTTGTGTTATTGGGAGGAGGTTATCAAACATGGCGATGAGATCATCGCCAACGGGTTGTCCTCACAACCCCTGAGCAGTTTTTGGCCACGACCACGGCTGCTCAAAATCGATCAACAACCTTCTCCTCACAGTGTCAACATCGACGATGATAGGGAACCGTTGTTTGTTGGACGAAGAAAAAATCGCCCGAAGACTAGTTTCGACCCCCTCGTGCATGTCGACGTGGGCACTTTTCTTATCCGTCGCCCCTCCGACGATGATCTGTCCAACGGTGTGCCAATCTGGGTGGGCAAGGCTCTTTCTCGGGTGGTTGTTGATTGTAATTCGCAAAATTATAATCAAGTGCTAGTGGAATATTGGGTGCCGACTGGGAGAGCAAAGTCACTCGAACAACTGTATGAGAAAGCATGGGAAAAACGATGGAAAATGACTGACCAGACACAATGGCAGGATGCTGACTCGATCACTTTTGGTTGGGAGAGACCGGTCCGTGGTACAAGACCATTCACAACTGGACTTGTCATTCCTTCCAGTGTTCGACTGAATGTTAAAGCTGCACTTCTCGATCTGAGTCCATCTGGTGAAGGTCCATCTGGTGAAGGGAGTGTAGATGGAGGGGACAAGAGCGATTAGTGCACGTCCGTCGGATAGAGTGGGGGAGTGAGA